AGAGAGAGAGAGAGAGAGAAATACGAGTTTTTTTTTAAACTTATTTAAATAAACAATAGGTGAAAGAGTTATAATAGATCATAGATTATATGTATTTATTGATATTCGCATCGATTTTACTATATTTGAATGGTGATTTGTCCGTAGATCGCTATATATGTATCGAATACATGCGTACATATATCGAATCGAACATTTTTTTGGGCTGCATTTTACAAATTTCAAACTATGGGTGTTGTTTGTTTAATTACACGCTCCATTATGCTCACCGTTAATTTTGATGCGTTCATGTTTGTCTTTTTCAATACGGTCGATCTCTAAGCGGCTCTCGATATGGTAGAAAATGGAAGCACCTAGTAACAAGTATGTCAAGAACAGCATCAACAGGACCAACCATTGCTTCTTCGACATTCTTTAACTGATCGTGTTTGAAATGGGATAAGAATGAGTGTCAGGAACAACAACGAAAAATCTCTAATAAAAATAACGATGCAAATTTTCGTTCCAGTTTCATAAATTTCTTCTTTCCGTTTCAAACATTGTCTCTATTATTTGATAATTGGAAAATTATGATGCTGCTGTTTGAAAGAAAAATTCTTATAATAATGATACAATAGAGCGACCGATTCGCGGATTGTCGTCGCGATTCTTACTACCACTGCACTAAAAACAGATTATGGACGGTCAAGCAGACTACGACATTATCGCGTGATAACTCTTTAGACTCTGATTTCGCGACCTTCAAAAGTCACCTTCTTCTCCCTCGATGACGACTCTGTTAGATATCCGATACGATTTTAAGTGGCAACAACTAACCATTTTATCGATAGGTAATGCGATTATTTTTTCATTTTTCTTTCAAATTTCTTCTCTTCCTTCGAGTCACGGAATATCCTGGAACAAGAATATCAAATGATGTAATTATTAGAATATACTCGTATAGCCGTTCCGTCGAAAATATAAAAGATTTACCTGCTTCTCTGAAATATCGAAATTTTCACAATTTATTTCAAAATCAACATCCACTTCTACGACGCTTCTTTCTTATTACTAAATATTTACGAAAGGCAAAAATCGAAACGCAAAAAACGAATTTATAGAATAAGAAATGTAGCGTCGCGTTGATACGTAAAAGAAAAAAAAACTCCAGTTGTACGAAAGATTTCTTCCGTTCAATAAGACGAATATTCTTCGAATTCGGAATAAGAATGAGAAGAAGAAGAAGAAGAAGAAGAAGAAAAGAAGTCGTGAACGAATTTAAATTCTTACCAGTCGCAAGAATGATGATTCTAACGAAACAAAAGATTCGAAACAAAGTAACTTAAACTATCCAAAGTGGTAGTCGTTAAACCAAATATTTTCTTGAATGTAACGCATTGTTTGAAAATACTGATCGATGATTGCAATTGGACTTAGGGACGTTTACCGTGTGACTACAATTTTCACAGTTACCGCGTAGTTGGCGACAAAAATGTTCCCTTTGACGATACTCTTTACGTAACTTCCACAATGTACTTTGTATAACGTAATATATATCGCGCTAGTTGAAAGATCGATGGAAAAAATCGATCAAACGCATGATTTATCGCGCAAAGAATACATATATTTTTTCTACTTATTACGTTTCCAACATGGTTTGTTATTTACTTCCTGGTATTCTATTCCT